CTCCCCCATGGGACCCCCTCAAAACCCCGGGGACCCCCGGGACCCCTCAGGGAGGGGCTTTGGGGTGTCCCAGGGAATTGGGGGTGCTGGAGGGGCCCTGGAGGTATTTGGGGTGACTCCCTGGAATTTGGGGTGTGATGGGTCAGGGATCACGTGGGTGTGGGGCCGTGTTTGGGGTCATGGGGTCAGGTTTGGGGTCATGAGGACAGGTTTGGGGTCCTGGGGTCAGGTTTGGGGTCACAGGGACAGGTTTGGTGTCTCAGGGCTGATTTTTGGACCCTGGGGCTGGTTTGGGGGTCTCAGGGCCAGTTTTGGGATCCTGAATCCAGTTTTGGGGTCCAGGGGCCAGTTTGAGGTCCTGAGGCCAGCTTGGGGTTCACAAGTCCAGTTTTGGGTTCCCAGCCCCGGTTTTGGGTTCCCAGCTCCAGTTTTGGGTTCCCAGGTCCGGTTTTGGGGTCCCGGGTCTGGTTTTAGGGTCCTGGGTGAGGTTTTGGGGTCCTGAGTGTCGGTTTGGGTTCCGAGCTCTGGTTTTGGGTTCCCAGCTCCGGTTTTGGGTTCCCAGGTCCAGTTTTGGGTTCCCAGCTCCGGTTCTGAATTCACAGCTCCGGTTTTGGGTTCCCAGGTCTGGTTTTAGGGTCCTGGGTGAGGTTTTGGGGTCCTGGGTGAGGTTTTGGGGTCCCGAGTGTGGGTTTGGGTTGACAGCCCCGGTTTTGGGGTCCCGTGTCCGTGTTGGGGACGCAGTCCCAGGTGTGACCCCGCTCCCTCCGCAGGCCCCGAGGGCTGTAACATCTTCATCTACCACCTGCCCCAGGAGTTCGCCGACACCGAGATCCTGCAGATGTTCCTCCCCTTCGGCAACGTCATCTCCGCCAAGGTCTTCGTGGACAGGGCCACCAACCAGAGCAAGTGCTTCGGTAGGGACGGGACACCGGGATATCATCGGGATATCATCGGGATATCATCGGGATATCATCGGGATATTGGGGATATCATCAGGATATCATCGGGATATCGGGATATCATTGGGATATCATCGGGATATCATTGGGATATCATCAGGATATCATCGGGATATCATTGGGATATCATCGGGATATCATCGGGATATCATCGGGATATCATCGGGATATCATCGGGATATCATTGGGATATCATTGGGATATTGGGATATCATCGGGATATCATTGGGATATCATTGGGATATCAGGATATCGGGATATCACTGGGATATCATCGGGATATCATCGGGATATCATTGGGATATCGGGATATCATTGGGATATCATCGGGATATTGGGATATCATCGGGATATCATCGGGATATCATCGGGATATCATCGGGATATCATTGGGATATCATCGGGATCGGGATATTGGGATATCATCGGGATATCATCGGGATATCATTGGGATATCATTGGGATATCGGGATATCACTGGGATATCATCGGGATATCATTGGGATATTGGGATATCATCGGGATGTCATTGGGATATCATCGGGATATCATTGGGATATCATTGGGATATCAGGATATTGGGATATCATCGGGATGTCATTGGGATATCATCGGGATATCATTGGGGTATCATCGGGATATCGGGGTATTGGGATATCATCGTGATATCATCGGGATATCATCGGGATATCATTGGGATATCATCGTGATATCATCGGGATATCATCGGGATATCATCGGGATATCATCGGGATATTGGGATATCATCAGGATATCGGGATATCATTGGGATATCATCGGGATATCATTGGGATATCATCAGGATATCATCGGGATATCATTGGGATATTGGGATATCATCAGGATATCAGGATATTGGGATATCATCGGGATATCATTGGGATGTCATTGGGATATTGGGATATTGGGATATCACTGGGATATCACTGGGATATCATCAGGATATCATTGGGATATCATTGGGATATCATTGGGATATTGGGATATCATCGGGATATCACTGGGATATCATCGGGATATCACTGAGATATCATCGGGATATCATTGGGATATTGGGATATTGGGATATCATCGGGATGTCAGCAGGATATCATTGGGATATTGGGATATCATCGGGATATTGGGATATCATCGGGATATCATCGGGATATCATTGGGATATCATTGGGATATCATTGGGATATCATTGGGATATCAGGATATCGGGATATTGGGATATCATCGGGATATCATCGGGATATCATCGGGATATCATTGGGATATCATTGGGATATCAGGATATCGGGATATTGGGATATCATCGGGATATCATGATATCATCGGGATATTGGGGAAATTTGGGATATGGGAATACGGGGATATCATCGGGTGGGGAAATTTGGGATATGGGAATACGGGGATATCATCGGGATATCATTGGGATATCGGGGATATCATCGGGATATTTGGGAAATTTGGGATATGGGAATATGGGGATATCATCAGGATATCACTGGGATATTGGGATATCGGGATATCATTGGGATATCATCGGGATATCATCGGGATATCATTGGGATATTGGGATATCGGGATATCATTGGGATATTGGGGATATCATCGGGATATTTGGGAAATTGGGGATATGGGAATATGGGGATATCATCGGGATATCATTGGGATATCAGGATATTGGGATATCACTGGGATATCATCGGGATATCATCGGGATATCATCGGGATATCATTGGGATATCATTGGGATATCAGGATATTGGGATATCACTGGGATATCATCGGGATATCATCGGGATATCATTGGGATATCATTGGGATGTCGGGATATCGGGATATCACTGGGATATCATCGGGATATCACTGGGATATCATCGGGATATCATTGGGATATCATTGGGATATCAGGATATCGGGATATCACTGGGATATCATTGGGATATCATCGGGATATCATTGGGATATTGGGATATCATCAGGATATCGGGATATCATTGGGATATCGGGATATTGGGATATCATCGGGATATCATCGGGATATCATTGGGATATCATCGGGATATCGGGATATTGGGATATCATCGTGATATCATCGGGATATCATCGGGATATCGGGATATTGGGATATCATTGGGATATCATTGGGATATCATCGGGATATTGGGATATCGGGATGTCAGCAGGATGTCATCGGGATATCATCGGGATGTCATTGGGATATCATTGGGATATCATCGGGATATCATCGGGATATCATCGGGATATCAGGATATCGGGATATCATTGGGATATCAGGATATCGGGATATTGGGATATCATCGGGATATCATGATATCATCGGGGTATTGGGGAAATTTGGGATATGGGAATACGGGGATATCATCGGGATATCATTGGGATATCATTGGGATATTGGGATATCAGGATATCATCGGGATATTTGGGAAATTTGGGATATGGGAATATGGGGATATCATCAGGATATCATTGGGATATCGGGGATATCAGGATACTGGGATATGGGGATATGGGGATATCGGGGACATCAGGGACATTGGGATATGGGATCAGGGATATGGGATATGGGGGGACAAGGACAGGGGTGGGAGTGCCATGACTTGGGGACATGGCCAGGGACACCAATCCCTGATGTCCCTGATCTCCCCTCTGTCCCCTCTGTCCCCTCTGTCCCCAATGTCCCAAATGTCCCCAATGTCCCCGATGTCCATGATGTCCCCTCTGACCCCCATGCCCTCTGTCACGTCTGTCTCCAATGCCCCCTCTGTCCCCTCTGTCCCTGATCTCCCCAATGTCCCCGCTGTCTCCCATGATGTCCCCATGATGTCCCCAAATCCTCCGTGTTCCCCATGTCCTCCATGTCCCCGTTCTCCCACATCCCCATCCCCGTGACAACCCCATGTCCCCCCAATGTCCCCGCTGTCCCCGATGTCCCCAATGTCCCCACTGTCCCCGATGTCCCCAATGTTCCCACTGTCCCTGATGTCCCCAATGTCCCCAACATCCCCAATGTCCCCGCTGTCCCCGCAGGCTTCGTGAGCTTTGACAACCCCGCGAGCGCCCAGGCCGCCATCCAGGCCATGAACGGTTTCCAGATCGGGATGAAGCGGCTCAAGGTGCAGCTCAAGAGGCCCAAAGACGCCAACCGGCCCTACTGAGCCCGGTGAGACCCCCAGGACCCCCCCGGGACCCCCCGGGAACCCCCGGGAACCCCCGGGGCTGGGAACACCACCGGGACCCCCCCTCCGAGCTCGGGGACCCTCCTGGGATCTCTCTGGGAGCCCCCCCAGGACCTTCCAGCCCCTTCTCCCCCAGGACCCCCAGAGATGCCCCCGGGGCCGCCCTGGGACCCCCGGGACCCCCCCAGATCTCTGCAGGGCTGGGAAACCCCTGGGATCCCCTTGAGACCCCCCTGGGACCCCCCCTGAGCTCCCCAGGACCCCTCAGGAACCCCCGGGATGAGAACCCCCCTGGAGCCCCCCAGAACCCTCTCGGGTTGGGATGTCCCCATTGGGGTTTGGGGTGTCCTGGGGGGTTTTGGGGGGCGCTGGAAGTTCCCCGGGATGGTATTTGGGATGTCCCCATTGGGGTTTGGGGTGTCCCCATTGGGGTTTGGGGTGTCCTGGGGGGTTTTTGGGGGCACTGGAAGTTCCCCAGGATGGTATTTGGGATGTCCCCATTGGGGTTTGGGGTGTCCCCCATTGGGGTTTGGGGTGTCCCCATTGGGGTTTGGGGCGTCCCCATTGGGGTTTGGGGTGTCCCGGGGTTTGGGGGGGCTGGAATTGCCCCCCAAACTCTGTTTAACCCCTCCCCATCCCCGGATTTTCTCTCCCCAGGTCCAGAGGCTCCGGAGCAGCACCTTTGGGTGCCCCCATTGCAGNCTTGTTGGGAGGTTCTGGATCCAGCGGCTCCAGGAGCTCCAGAGGAATTCCAGGGAGGAGCCAGGAATTCCAGGGAGGAGCCAGGAATTCCAGGGAGGAATGAGGAATTCCAGGGAAAAGGCAGCAGCTCCGTGTTGGAGCCAGGAATTCCAGGGCAGAACCAGCCTCTCCTGGGATCAGTTTTTGGGATCAGTTTTTGGGATCAGTTTTTGGTATCAGTTTTTGGGATCCGTTTTTGGGATCAGCCTCTCCTGGGATCAGTTTTTGGGATCAGTTTTTGGGATCAGTTTTTGGGATCAGTTTGTGGGATCAGTTTGTGGGATCAGTTCTCTGATTTCTCCGGATTTCTCCAGGAATCCAGGCAGGATTCAGGACACTCGTGCATCCCATTCCTGAGGAATTCCGGGTGGGGTCTGGGACACTCCCGACCCCGTTCCCAAGGAACTCCAGGCAGGATTTGGACTCCCCAAAGAATTCTG